TTAAGTATCAATACATATGAATTATTATTTTTAGTACTAAGTTACTACAAATACCCTTCATAATTTGCCAATGCCGTACTTCTGACATGCCAGTATTAAAAACCATTCAGAAGACTAAGGAGTACTTTCCCGAAGACTAAAGATTACATTCGTATATTAAACTTAATAGACTCATATATGAAATCTATAAATTCAAGTCTTTCATTAATAAAAGCTCTTCTTATATTCTGCTCCCTGGACAAGAACCACCCACCCACAGACAGACTCAATAAAAAGCCAAACCATGCAACGTGTGGTAGGAACAATTCAATATCGATCCTTAAAAATGTGAGAAATACTAGTGTTCACATTTCTTTATGCCTATTCAATTTGAATGTATAGATTATTTTAAAAAAGCAGAATACAAAATTGTAACTACATGACTTCGGCTATAAAAAACTACATTGGCACGTGTTAAAGTCTCAGTAAATGGTTACTTTTGTATCACCATTTGCAACTGTATAGCTAATGTTTTATTTTCTGTTTAATACTTGACTGCCACCTACTTGACTATAAACCCTTGAGGGCAAGGACCGTATCTTTGGGCCACATTTTGCAAGTAGGAGAATAAAGGCTAAGAAAAATGTCTGGTTAAACAGGTAAGAGATCCCTAAAATTGTGGAGGTAGAAAAAACTGTAGGTACAGCTTTTATAATCCCTCTATTTGCTATTTCATTACATTCTGTATCAGAAAAGAAATAATTAACATTTATATTTGCATGCACGGTGTTTGGCTTGGAAGTGGTAAAATCACATTAACAAGTCATTTACAAATAAATCATCAAATATTAAAACTTGCCCAGTACCTCCTCCTATACTGAAAAACAAATGACGGGGAAAGGTACAGGAGAAACGTCTCTTTCTCAGCGGTGGTTCCCAACTGCGGTCCTAGACACTGGTGGTCTCAAAGGCTGCCTGCATGCTCCTCTGACCGATCAAAACCCAGAATACACTTGTATCTAGGTGAGTGCCTGCTCAACACAAAAATGAGCCAAAAAGGAAGAAGACCTGCTCACTCTGACTTAGCAGCCTAAGAGAAACAAATCACACAAAGTGACCTTGGGAACATGAAGCGTAATAGCAAATTCCTTAAAGATTTGGAGATATGCTTCCTCATCCAACATTAACTTCCTTCTATGCCAGATTGAGGAACAGGAGGCTCCCTTCCACAAAAGCTAAGAAGCAAAGGAACACGGAAAACATCCCTTAAAAGTATGTCCAATAATAGGTCCTTCCTACCTTTCCTTCTGTTTTCTCACCCCACCTCAGAAGCCTACCCCATGCCATTCCCTCGATCCCATTCTGCCAGTGGGCCCCAGCAGAAAGGCAGGTCCAGTGACAAGACACAATTTGAGTAGTATGGAAAAGTTTTTCCAGAACCACTTTATTAATTTAAAAAAAAAAACTGCGAGGAGTCCCTGCTTTGCACAGCAGCAGCATGCGTGAATTGCGGTTACCACAAGTAACGCAAGTTTCTCACACCACTGTTCCAATTACAGCAACCACAGCGGCATTTTACAAATATGGATAAAGAGGGAAGGGACCAACAAAGATGAAAGTGCAGCAAATAAATGAGAAGAAAGTAGTGCCACTGAAAGTGAAATTCAAATATAGAGTTACAGAAAAAATAGCTGGCTGCTGGAATGGCACCGCTATCACTGGAGAGACTGTACATACGCAGCCCGAGTAAATTAGTGAAGGTGAGCTTACCAACATAAAGGGGTCCGTGGCTGTGACAGAAAGGATGAAGATGCCCCAGAGCAAGTTTTACCGGTGAAAATGTTCACACTGAAGGAAAAATCAGAGCTACTTCCCAACACTGGAGGCACACAGGGTAAAATGCTGGAAGGTGATGTGAACTTAGCAGTATGACACTTGGCCATGACTTTAAAAAAAGATACTGGTTCCTTATACGACGGGAAGACAAGTACTAGTCAAAATGCTTTTGATGTTTTTTCCAAGAAATGTTTCTGATACTTTAAATTACAATGTCCTAAATAGGGGTCTTACTATTTCTTCATTTCCCTATATATTTAAAATCAACAATAAGGGAGTCTGACATTTGACACTGACGATAATGTTTAAGGGTCATTAAATAATCATAATTTTTCTCATCAATTGTTAAGACCACTTTGCATGGTTTCCGCTTGCAAACTCATTTCACAGCCTCACACTGCCATGCATGGGCTGCCTGTACTCCACGCTGCAAAGCACCCACACCGGCCGAAGTTCTGTCACCTGCCAGAACTACAAAAGGACAATGAAATAGTTAAGTACTAAGAGGAAGGACAGGTGAGGCAAGAAAGAAAAGACATGTGATGAAGAGTGTGATGTTTTAAAAAAATCTAAAGTACTTTTTTGTACTAAATAAACAAAGAAAGTAATGTTGCTATCAAAATTACTTCATATTATCTTGGTGAATTTCAATACAGCTTTTTTTCTTAATGAATGGAACAGTACTTTATGTATTTTTAATTAGGCATGAAGAGATGCACATTATATGTTTTCTTTTTTCTCATGTCATAAGTATTTTCCACATTATTACAGCACATTACACTTCACAAGCACCATGCTTCATGGCTTCTGAATCATTCATGAAATACATCATCATCTGACATCATTTTCCTAACCATTTCTTTTTGTTTCATGGTTACGTGGCTTCCTATTATCTTGGCTGAGTTAAACGTTATGACCATGTTTCAGTTCCTAAAACTTAGTTACAAACTGCTTTTCTAAAAGCAGGCAGCCATCAGTATACTCTCTGTTGCTGTTTCTGAATAGCCCATTCTGTGTTCCAAACGAAAACTAACATTCCAGCTCTCCCCTTTTCATTTTTACAGTTCTTCATCCCTCCTTGTGAAGCTTTAGGAAGGAAAGATTTAAATTGTCTGCTACATGCCAGAGTCTGTACTGCATATCTGACATTGTTATTTAATCCTTAAAGTCTGAATTTCAAGATTTCAGCAATCATCTCAGCCTACCTTTCATTCAGTCAGTCATTCACAAGTAGTTTTGAGTGTCTACAAAGTGTCCGGCAATGGTAGCACAGTAGTAAGCAGAACAGATCTCCCTTAGAATGTTCAGCCGGTTGCAAAAATACTCCCAACCTTAAAAAAATTGCCACTCCATTTCTGAATTACTTGGTAATAAAACCTTCTAATGGCTTCCATTTATGCTTCAAGTAAAGTGCAAATTCCCTTCCATGGCCCACAGACTCACCTCATGGTCTACCTCTGCTATATCACCCCCTCCACATCCCAGGCCGGGCTACGCTTAAACCCGAGGCCTCAGTATCCACTCTAGCATTCTAAGCCTCCTTCCACCTGAGAGTTTTCTCACGTGCTGCTCCCTCTGCTCATCAAAATATCTTGCCCTTTCCTACCATTTGTTTAGGTCTTAGCTTAAATGTCACCTTCTCGGGTCCTTTCCTGGTCACTCCATTTCAAAGTTCTCCAATATTATCCTCTCTCTATCCTACCTCAGTTCATTTCTTTCATAGTACTTATCATGTGGGTTTAGTTTGTTCGCCACCATATCGAAGGGCTATCTCAGTGCCCAGTGTGCCAAATGAATCAAATTATTTGTTTTTAGCTGGAATGAAATCTAACTTCCTTGAAACTTCTACCCACCCACTGATCCTAATTTTACCCTAACTACACTGGAAAGAAAAGTACACTCTGCATGTGTACCATACTCTAACATAGTAAGTTTTACAACCATTGTTCTTTTATTAACTCTGGCACTCACCTGTTTTTAGCAACTCCTACTGTTGCTGACTTCAGAGAGAGTATCAAACATCAGTTAAGGGCCCAGAATTTTATGTTACACCGCCTGGGCTGGAGTCTAAGCACCAACACTTACAGACACCAAACAAATAGATCTCCATTGTGTGACTTTGGACACGTTACCTACCCTCATTTGGAAACTGGGGTAATACTTCCACTGTTTATCAAAATTAAATGAGCTGACTTACGTGAAAAGCTTACACCAGCTCTTGGCACAGGAATGTTGATTGTCAAAACCATTACTGCTGTCTCACCAGCTAGAGAGGAAAACTCCTGGTAATATATTTCTATCTTAAAACTCAGCTTATATAAGTTTCAACAAATCTAGATATAAAATCTGGATCCCACATGTCTGGTTAAGGTGCCCATTCTACATCTTTCCATACACCCTGAAAGTAGCCATCTCCTAACATTCATTTTATTGTCTCCGCCACCCACGTGGGCATGACTATAGCGTTTACTGTTACTCCAACACCTGCAACAAGAACGTTTGATAATTAAATTCCCCTGAGCCACCACTTCACCTGTGAGAGGTTTTTTAAAAAGTATTTGCCTCTTTCCACTAACCCACGACGAAAATTTAAGCAGCAAATCCCTTTCTTGTTCACTGCTGTATCTAGTATTCCTCCTGAATCGGCCATAACACAGACCTCAAAATATTTCTTACAGATTTTTGCTGTTGTGGTTCTTGGTTTTGTTTTGTGGGAGTTTTGTTTTTGACGCTAAAATGTGGTAATTCTCGTAGATTCCTAAGAAATTAAACACTGCTGCATTATGGGCTCCACAACGCAGCTGTTTGTGATCATCAACATACCCCAAGCCTAGAAGAATGTTTGCAAACAGAAAAAGCAAGTTAGTTATTCAGTGAATGAATGAACGGGTATGTGATTTTCCGAGATTAAAAGACACAACAGAATGACAACCATCGTCTCGGAGAGGCGGAGTGTCGCTCCCTTACCCCCGTGCCTTTCTGGGGTTCGGGTAGGAAGGACAACGCCCTGACAAGAGGCCCGGTGGGGCCCAGGGGCCCCGCGACCCCCCCAGACTTGGTGACCGATGACCCGAAAGCGGTTCTGCGCGCAGAGCCGGAAGAAAGCCCCAGGGCAGAGAAGCCTCCACGGGCTCGGGGGCGGCCTCCGGCACGCCGGGCTCCGCGCCCGGTCACCCCGCACTCACCACCAGTGAAGCCACGAACCCGGGCTGGTCCATAGCCCACAGACTCCGTCAAGGCTGGAATGAGAGTCAGCAAGGACAGGTCTCCGCCGCACGCCTGGGCGCCGCCATCTTGGAGGCGGGGCCGTGCGGTCTCGGCACTTCCGCGGCCACGTAAGGAGCATCCACAACAACTACACGTGCAGCCCGTGCAGGGGCCAGAGGCGCGTCGGAAAGGCGGAGTGGGCGCTAGGGGGAGGGTGGGGTTTACGATGGTGGGTGGGGCTTAGGGAAGGAGTCGAGTCAAGTCTCGCGACGCTTCTCTGCCTCCGTTTCTTGCAACAGCCTTGACTGGACTAGAGCAAGGGACTCTGGCGAACCAATGAGCCTCGGCCCGGAGCCGGGCGGTGAGGCCGGACGAAGTCCAGAGAGGCGTGGACATAGTGGAGGGAGGGGCCACGGAGGGCCGGGACCAGTTTCGGAGGAGGTGGTGGTTTCCAACCAATGATTTCTTTGCGGTTTATCTTTTGGTTTTATCTGTACACATTTTGCATGGATTTCTATAAAACAGACTCAATAGTAGAAGACTATTAAATAAGAATATAGAAAACAGCAATGACTGTAATGGGGGGTGGGGGATGAGGACTTGATAATATGGGTTAACGTTGAAACCACAGTGTTCATGTGAAACCTTCATGTATATCAGTGATAGTTTAAATTTAAGAAAAAGAATATATAGCACAGTGAAAAATATACATAGAAAAAACTTTAAAATTTCTCTTGAGCTAAAAATGATATGGCAGCTGATTTCCCTAGAGTGAACGATCTATAAGAGAACAAAACGGACTGCAGTATCTTTAATGACCTGGCCTCAGAAGTCACTCAGTTATTGTTCCTGCAATCGCCTATTGGTTACACAGGTTATCCCTACTTCTTATGGGATTGGACCACATAAATACCAGGAGGTGAGGATCACTTAGTGCCACTTTGGAAACTGGCACCAATCAGAGAAATGCAACTACAACCACATGCTCACTAGAGTGTCTACGATTAAAAAGGCCAAAAAGACCATGTGTTGTTGGCAAAGATAAAGAGCAACTAGAACTCTCATACATTGCTTTTGAGAATGTGATATGGTACAACCATTATGGAAACCAATGCCTCTCTTTTAATTTGTGATTTTTTTTTAAACTTTCCCCTCCAATTAAGTCCTCCCCAAATGGTTCTTCCCCTCTCCCCCCACTTCACAATGCCCCTCTTAACTGTTTATCCAAAGGAAATGAAAACATGTGTCCATACAAAGACTTTTACATTATTGTACAAAGCAGCTTTATCCATATTACACAAAAACTGTAAACAACCCAAATGTTCATCAACTGGTGAATGGAAAAACATAGATGGTACATCCATACAATGGAATATTATTCAGCAATAAAAATTAATGAACTACACATGGAAAAACATGGATTAGTCTCAAAATATTTTGTAAGTGAAAAACGATTTTAAAAACTACGTATTTGTGATTCCACTTGCATGAAATTCCAGAAAAGAAAAAAGTATGGTGACAAAGCAGATCACCAGGGCTGGGTGGGGGTAAAGAGTTGGTTACAAAGGAGCCGTAAAAAACATTTTGGAGTGGCAGAGATATTCTGTATCATTATTGTGGTGGCCACTGCTTGGGTGCATACCTTTACCAAAATGCATTAACTTATACAATTTAAATGGACACATTGTACTGTATGTAAATTATACCTCAATAGAGTTTATTAAAATGTAATCACTTTATCTTACAGGATGATGATGATGATTGAACGATCCTGGCATATAGAAAACATTAAATTTATTCAGTATTTTAAGGTGAATTAAGCACTTTATGATACATACTATATATACTATAGACATCATAAGAAAAAAATGGATCTTATTTCCAATTACTAATGACCTTGGAAATTTTAAATACAACTCCTTTCCTAGGAGAAAATTTAACCAAACTACTGATTTTGAGATAATACCTCCTTCAGTCTAAAATTAAGCAAAAACTCTTGTCCTCTTCGATGTATTTGTCTTTAACTTTGTATGGAAAAATTGTGTTGATGCCATTTTCTGATAACATGGAGGGTAATACAATTCATCAGGTACCTTTTGGAATCAAGGGGGGAAATGTCACATATTCTCTCCTTTTGTACAAAGTAAAAGCTTCATCTAGAAGCCCTGTAGGAAATACAGATATTACAAACCTAGAAACTCCTTGTCATGAAATGCTAGCAAAAAGAGATCTGTTACCACTTGTGCATAAATTTTGAATGGAGTATTTCAATGTCCCCACATGGTAGGGAGTGTATGTCCTCAAATCTTCCGTTTTAAAAGATACAGGAAATGAGGTATGCACCGATTTGCATTAAACACATGCTAGTTTACTAATACTGTTGTCTTCTTCCATTAAATCTACCACTGTGAGCCAAGTTTACTTTTAAACAAGTTCTAAAATCTTAACAGCACTTTTAAAAATTAGCAGAAAGCCAAAAACATACATCTAACTAAAAGGAAGTAAAGGACATATTCTTTAGCCAGGACTAGGCCCAGGGTCTAAGCTCCTAGTACTGATCTTCACTGAAAAATAAGTCAATAGTTTGAATCATTTTCAGTAAAAATATTTGTGGAAGTATTTTCCCATCTGTAAAGGATAGCAAATATATGCAATGGAAAGGACGTCAAATGGAAAATGTAAAAGGCCTGTTTTAAAGGTGCGTTTTCCTTTTAACTGAATCAAAATTATACTTGTCATGTGGCTTTATGTTTCTATTTCAAATCAGTGAGAAAAAAAAATGATCCTTTCAGTAAGTGATTTTGGGGTATTCAAAATGTTTTCGGACGGATAACCATTTAGAAGAGAACAATGTTTTAATGTTTTATCCCTGTCTCATACTTTACCTCCAAAAACAGTTCCAAATAGATTAAAATTTTTATTTGACAAATTAAACTATTAAAATACTAAAAGAAAACAGGAAACATTTTAATATTCTTGAGGTAAAGAAGCAGGTTCTATGAATGAACTTTTTTTAACTAGAAAAACATTTGCAGTATATACCACAACAATGAATTCTTAATACTTAATAGCTCCTATAAGTCAGTAAGAAAAATTCCTATACCAATGGAAAAAATAGGCAAAGTTCACAAAGGAAGAAATGCAGATAGCTAATAAACATGTCAAACATTTTAAATTTATGAATAACATCAAAATGAAAATTAAAACAACAATAAAGCATGTTTTTTATCTCAACAAGTAGGCAGAGACTTTTTTTGAGAGAGATCCACAGCAACTTTTCTGTTGAGCAATAAGACAGAATGTATCAAAACCCTAAAAAATGTTCTTTATCCTAAATTATTCCACTTGCATTGTACTCTAAGGAACTATATTTAATAATCCATAGAAATATGACTATAAGGATATTCATTTTACTCTTTATTATAGCAAAGAAAGAATTTGTATACAACCAAAAATGTTGAGTATGACTGAGATACTTTAATAGTGCCCATATGTAGCTATTTAAAAACATGATGTAGAAGATCATATTTAATGATGCAGAAAGATGGTAAACATAAAAATGGTTGCACACAAGCACATGCATATGCTGGTTTTTCTCCTTATATCCCAGCAGATCCATTCCTACTTCCTTTGCCTTAATCTCTGTCCTAAGTAGCTGACCCCTAGGAACTGCCCTCTGGTTTCCAGCTGGGTTTGGCCAATGAAAATCGTGGGCAAATCTGAGGATGGCAGGAGAAAGAGGTCAGGGTACTTCTTCTCTGCTCCCTCCCTGCCTCAACCCAATTCTGGTGGGTGTTGTGTCCCTCTACAATCCTGCTATGAGACAGCCATGCCTCTCTGACTCCCCCTCTCTTTGGCCTCTGCTAACACCTTCCCTTACTTCTTCAGGTCAAGAGATGGTATATGGCTTCCCATTATTGTAGGGCCTGGCTGTCCTTCATACCTAATTGATTTTCTTAACACTGCCCACAGTTCTTTTCAAGATCACAGTTGAGTGTCCTCTATTGGTTGCTAATACTCTGATTGACAGAAGACAATATCATTCAATTTTTGTAAACATATGCATTTTAGTTATCTATTGCTGCATAACAAAGGAACCCAACATTTATCAGCTTAAAATAACAAACATTTGCTGTCTCAGAGTTCGGTGTGGCCGAAAATCTGGATATGGCCTAGTTAGGCACAGCTGGCTCAAAGCCCTTGATGAGACTGCAGGCTGTCAGCTAGGGCTGTGATCCCATCTGATGGCTCACACGGAGGAGGACCCACTTCTGCGCTCACGTGGCTGCTGGCAGGACCCAGTTCCTCATGGGATGGTGCTTGAGAGGCTCAATTTCTCACTGTTGGCTGGAGGCTCCCCTGTTCCTCGCCCCAAGAGCCTCTCCCTAGGGGAGCTTTCAACATGACCTCTGGCTTTGATGAGAGTGAGCAAGCAAGAAAGACTGAGAAGGAACACCCAAGATGGAAGCCGCAGACTTCTGCAACCTCATCTCTGGGATGACATCCCATCACTTCTGCCAGTCCATGCTCAGTGGGAAGGGAATTACACAAGGGCATGCATACAGGCAATCACTGGGGGCAATCTTAGAGGCAATATGTAATCTTGCAAATGCACAGAAAAAAAAATTTGTATGACTGTTACCTTTGGGCACGTTAAAAATTATCTTTGTTTTCTTTTTGTATTACTGGCCATTTCCAACAAATAATTACTGTTTCTATGATTATTGTTATCATATAAATCTTTTGTTACTGACCTATCATATGACAATCACTCATATGACACTGCTTGATATCTTAACCTTTTCCATAAACAAATTTGATATAAACCTGCCTAGACTGTAGAAAGAGTGAATCAATTTTCTGCCACGATTGGGTTTTGTTCAATATTTGACTCAATCTTCAGAGCTCTGGCTAGATTTTCACATACATAAAAATAATCAAGGTGAAATTTGCTCAGCTAATTTTTACATTCTCTGACAAAGATCCCTACTTTATTAGACATGGAAAGTATCCTAAAACCTGTGCATTGTGCATTTACAGCCCATCATTTTGGCAAGCCTGTCATATTGAAATAAAACACAGAAGTGCCCTTGCTGTAATTGCTCCCCTTTGTTGAAGTGGCAACAGATAATTATAGGTCACCCTTGTGACACAAATGACGAGAACAAATGATTTTTCTCACCAACTGATGAT